AACTAACTTCGCACTATGCTAAATATGAGTTGTGACAATACATGCAATCACAGTGTTCTCAAATAAGTGAACTTTCGCTTCATGCGCTTGCGAGTGACGGGAATCTTGGTAGTTCGTTGAGTTGCCGCCGCGCTCTACACAGTACACACGCAAGCGCAGTTCAGACCAGATAATGTCAGAGGATATTCCTTCTTTTGGTGAAATTGTCAATCCGTGGCCCATGCGTGCTGACAAACACGTTAGCGATTGTCGTCTTCATGACCACGATTCTCCCAAGCAGTTTGTGTGCAGTTTGAATTGGCAAGCTGTGCATGTTACCGTACACTATTACGCGTATGTAACTAAGCACATATGCACACACACACACAGAGTCTAACCAGTTATCGTGAGCGATTGAAGTGAACCGGTAACCGTAGCTAAGTGTTTCAACAGAGAACAATCTGATAAACAGGCATCAACCGGTTCGCACAATATTTTTCTTCGGTAGCTTTTCTGTCTGTATTGACCGAAGGAGATTATCAGCATTGTGATTCAAACGGAAGACGTATCGATCGACGGAATGTTTTATCAATCCACACCAGTCAGATATATGGGGAAAATGAACATTACTCAATTTCGGTACGCGTCGACATGGCCGCTATTGACGATGAGGACTCGGGTTCAGATGAGGACGGTGATAACAATAAGCAGGATGTGTGAATTGATGATAATTTGCTACCTACGTGTTAGATGAATTACCTCAGTAAAATGGATGAAATCTCAAATCAATAACGATTGATTGTTCGAAATTCACAGAGGCTAATCAGTGGTATGCGCTTACTTACTATGTTGGTATGTTTGATTTGACTAAGGGAACAAACTGTACTGGATAAAGGTGACGGAATAGTGTGACCTGGTTCACTCAACTATCCTACTCGACTGTCACTATGCAGTGGCTTAAACAGTGGTTAAACCAATTATCTACTGTGGAAAACGTATCCTTTGGGGTGAACTATTGGGTAAGATAGGGAGATTTCAGCTGGGTAGTGGGGGTATACTAATCAGTCCCTGTTAGACGCAGGATTTTTGGAAATTGTGACAGGTTATGGAAGTTCGAAGCGTATGATCTTACTGTTGTATTTTTCACACACTGTCGACAGGTACAATGACCGTACCTGAATCATGATGTGTTACACCTCCAAAAGCCTCAGTATGGTCGAGGGTGGGTGTCCAGGGTTGCGGTTGGTCACCTCGCGAAATGCTCCCGTAAGACCAAGCATCTCAGGCAGCCCTGCTCACTGCCTTCTCGTGGCGGAGCTGTTTCCTACCAATGTGAGAGTACAAAAAGCCGATATTCGGGGCTATAACCCTGTCGGTGGACCACTGGTAGTTCACCTAGGGGAGTTGGCCAAAATCCCTGATTCCAAACCAACCATGAGGAGGCGTACGAACCACACACATAACTCCCTGGTTGTGGCAGTGGTCACTGGCTCGATTGGACACCACGGTGTATTGGGCACCTTGGACGTTTGACCCCGTCCAAAGGGCGAATAATCCAATGCAGTGGACACCGGCCCCCAATGGATTGTGGTTTTCACATATCGCCCCGCTGCCTTGCGCGTCAGGCTTTGGCTAGCCAAAGGCTCCGGTTGTGGATTCCTCAAGAAAATTCACCTGCTTTGACCTGGAAAACCTGGCAGTAGTTCGCCCACATGCAAATCATGGAATGTATTTCTTTTTCATAAAGATTATTGTACCATGATTTGTTCGGCACAGTCGGAATTCAGACGTATGTGAAATATATATATGATGTGTTATGCATGTCACCAAATAGGTTGCCCTGCTGAGCGATATTCGCCGAGGCAGGTAGTTAGGTGGAATAATGCCAAATGTGGTCAAGCTAAGACCTGATATGAGGGTATGAAAACCCTAAATAAGGGACTGGATCACCTAGGTCCTTGGATGGGGATCTCGGACTGATCTTAACCGATGATGAGAGTCACTGAGTGATATAACTGACTGTCGTAAACAATGCCATTCTTCTCATTGGGCTTTGCAGCCATAGTTTACTGGAGTTCTCAATTTTATCTATGACTCTATTTTCACCAATTCTGTCTTTCTTCTACTGTTCGTCCAAATGAGCAGCCAAAAGACATCAACAAAAACGAACGTGCATGGTTAATGGTTGTACAAGCTGAAACTGAAACTCTATCACGATGGAACATGAACATACGGGGGGAGTTCGTGAGCATCCGCATAAGTCGAGGTTAACTGTATCCCTATGGTAACTTGTATTTACCAGAGAACGGATAGAGTGAGGTAAATAACCAAAATAACCACTAACGTAACTACTTTCTGTGTACTCAATTTTTCGCCCACTAGTAGTAGCAGGAAGGTAAGACAACAAGGAACTACAAACACAATGGTAAGTTGATAGGGGTAACCATGACAACGCGACAATGTCATCTTTTCGATTAATCAATGTACCAACATAGTTTCACAGTCAAAATAAAATCGTTCAATACGATCGAAGGAAGAAGGTGATATTTTTGTGTAAAACAATCGCAGCTGATTCAGAAAATTATTGTCCAAGTGTGCGTTTATGTATTGGAAAATATAATTCCATATCTGATAGACTACGCCTTTCCAATCGATACGATTTGCTTATTACAAATCGCGTATTAGACCTCACGCGTAACCGGCTGAAAGTCATCGTGGTTATACTACATACTGAACAGAATAAATTCCGTAGTATATAAGATACTATTACTAGTTCGAACCGGCTATCCGCATACATCACACAGACATACACGACCTGATAAAATAACTTCTGAATACGGTAATGTTCGAATTACACTTTTACTTACTTTTTATCTTTATCGGAGAGCTTTGGATGCGCAATTAAATGTCAACCACCAAGTCCGATTTCTACCACCATGCAGTCCCTTTTTTAATCCACTGGAAGAGATCTTCGATAAATTGAAACAGGTGAGCGGTTTTAATCCTTTGATTCGCTTATTATTTAGTACATTAAAAACTGGTTCACTGGAAACACTGAAATCATACGAGATGTACCAAATGGTTTGACGATACGGGCACATCGTCTGAAACTACTTCAATCACTATGTGGTGCGGCATTTGATACCGTTACTACAGTCAACTGCGCAGCATAGGATCGCCACACCTCATTTATTAGTCAAGCTTTGCAATATGAAAATTTGTAAAATATAATTTTTTTCAACATTCGTTGACCTCAGAATATATCGATAGTTTTTGTTCTGACTCGCCTACAGTGGTGTGACTAAAAGTTGTGCGTCGACGCTAAAGGACTACGGGTGGTGGCTAAAGCTTAATGGGAAAAGGTGTATTTCGAACCGGTTATCTGCATACATCACATATCATACAGACATAAAATAACTTCTGAATACGGTAATGTTCGAATTACACGATTTGCTCCCCCATCTGTTTACGCATTTTTCGGCAGGGGTTCTCAGCCTTTTGCGATAGTTAAACTTAGAAATTTGTATTCTGTTGACGGAAAATGTCGAGAACGGATAGAGAAAAACAAATTATGCAGTTGAAGGACCAGGGTTCGGCGGGGGGGGGACAACGTTTTCCCTATCACCAACTTGAACACTGTTCCCTCCTCCGAGAATGGGCAGGTGGAGGTTGGGGCTAAAATGGAACCCCTAGTACACGAGCGCGCGCGCAAACACACACACACAAACACAAACACACGTAGACTAAGAAAAAATATTACCAGAAAACCTGTCAGTTTGGGATAAGTAAGACCGCGGGTTTCGAATGACTTACAGGTACTCATCAGGCACTTCGAGCAGTGGTCGAAGTGAACAGTCACAATGCCACGGGTTGTCAGCAAGACGAAAACGTTGTACCTCAAAATCACGAATCCGACTGGCCAGCGCATCCCAAGGGAGTCGAGTCAGTTCGTTCTTGGACAAATCCACATTGACCAAACGCTTGATGAGGCTGCCGAAATTCGCCGGGACCTCGTTCAGATGTGTTAGACCGAGATAGAATGTGTGCAATTGTTTCAGTTCCGCGAAATAACTAATATCGCCCAACCATCGCGAGCTGATCCGGATCGATTTGAGCACATTTTCCAAACCGCCTAAAGTTTGCTTATTTAATTCGAACGTCCCATTCACAGCGTTCAAGACCAACGATTCTAAACTGTTCGAACTGAATTCGGCGAAAAATCGCGGTGCTATTCCACGAATATTTGAATTATGTATTTGAAAACTTTGAACGGAGAATTCGTCTCTCTTTTCTGGCCAATCCACCCGTAATTCACCGTCGAAATTGCTCACCTGTACATTTGTGCCTATTCCAGCTGTGACCAGCTCGTGCAGTTCCGGCAAACTGCCTCGACAATTTAGAAACCGAACATAAGGGTAGCAAGTGGACTCGACAGGCCGGGGTGTGTGACTAACAAGGAGCATGATGAGCTGGAGCCATAACCACCGAGAACGGGT